TAATAATAATAATAATAATAATAAACGGTTTATTAGAAAGGCAGTCATAAACTGAAAATATACATTTTAAAATTACTTAATTCTAATTCTAAATGTGAGAAGTGGAAGACTTTTTTTCTTTACATGAGACTATTCAGACAAGTTGTTAGCATAGTGATGTGTGGTGGTATGTCGTGGATCAGGTGAGGTCAGGTCCGCTTCACCACCTTGTCCAGCCCGGTGGTGTCTGGTGACGGTGTTGTAGCCGGGCATGCCTTGGAGGCTGGGGATGGACTCGAGCCTGGTTGGATTGCGTCGCCTTCAGGTGTTGGGGGAGGTGCCGCCTGTAGGAGGCCACAATCATCCACATACTTCCATCGAGATGGAGTGTCCAGCATCGCGTCGTTGATGAGGAGGAGGAAGCAGAGGGGGCCCATCTTGGTCCCCTGCGTGTGTGTGTGTGTGTGTGTGTGTATGTGTGTGTGTGTGTGTGTGTGTGTGTGTGTGTGTGTGTGTGTGTGTGTGTGTGTGTGTGTGTGTGTATGTGTGTGTGTGTGTGTGTGTATATGTGTGTGTGTGTATATATATATATATATATATATATATATATATATATATATATATATATATATATATATATATATATATTAGGATTTGGCGACTTGAGTGAGATTGCCACACCTGTCATTATAGTAAATACTGCACCTGGCCAAGCATCACATGCCAGGTAAAGGATAGAGAGGTGAGACTGGTAACGTGAAAGTGCTAAAATTAAGGGATGTGGAAGAATAACCCATTAAGACATCCCAATAGGACAACTAAAGTGATCGCAAAGACATAATGAGGTAGGTAGGTGTGGCAGGCCCACTGCTGTCACCAGCCGGTACGGTATATACAGTAATTCTTTCTGATATACTCTGATATTACCTATGTAGTAATAGTAATAATAATGAAAATTATTATTAATATTATTATAAATATTATTATCATTATTATAATAATACGTATTATAGTAGTAGTTATCATTATTAATAATATTCTTTATCATCTTTTGCTTATTACTATTATTATTGTTATTGTTATTGTTATTATTATTATTATTGTTATTAGTGTAGTAGCAGTATTAGTATTAGTATTAGTATTAGTAGCAGTAGCAGTAGCAGTAGTAGTAGTAGTAGTAGTAGGTGTAGTAGTAGTAGTAGGTGTAGTAGTAGTAGTAGTAGTAGTAGTAGTAGTAGTAGTAGTAGTAGTAGCAGTAGCAGCAGCAGCAGCAGTAGTAGTAGTAGTAGTAGTAGTAGTAGGTCCTCAACTATTTCTATTGGTACTGCTACTATGTTCATGCTATCCCGTCACAATGACACGGAATAGAAAGATTAGGTACAGTCACAGTGCGTCGTTTCACTCTCGCCTCGCAGTGAAGTGTGCAACTATCGGTACCATACCAGTCGTTCATTCGTTTCAGTGTTGAAATATCAGTTATCTTCATAATTATGGTAACTTCTCACACGTAACATTATGGTGTATTTAACGCATACATAGTACGTCAGCTGACACATGGGGATACGTAGCTCATTTGAATAAGTCCTCAGAGAACGAAACATTATAACAAACTAATTATCAATGATTATAACAGAAATTTCATAAACTAAAAGATACTGTAGTGACGCGTGAATGTTAAGCACACTAAAACAGCTGTGATCAGTGATGAAAAAAGGAAGAAAGACCGTTATATATGTCCAGCCGTAAGGAAAAAACTTACAAGTAATTATAACTATTTTGAGGTAACTACACGGGAAATATGAAGCTAAAACTAGTCACTGTTGAGACAAACCAGCATCTCAGAATTCTGAACTCGGTTATTTAAAAAAAAAATGGAAATTGGAATAGTTATAATAATCACCTTGCGAGCAAACAAATCATATCTGTAAGTAGATTGACAACTTTATATGGCTGCATTTCTATTAGCTAAAAAATATAAATAATTTATAATTTTGCTATTTGATAGTGATTATCTAAATAAAATCGGAATGAATAATATCTTTCTAACATTTTTTAAATAGCACTACATCATTGTAACCCGTTGGAAAGAATTTCCCACCAAATTCAAATCATCACTTATCAGCTGTGGTTTGGTGCAGCTGGTCCGCTTGTATCTTGTATTATGACTTTTTGGTGTCTCTAGGAAATAATTGTATCAACCGAAGACATAGAATACATTACTCTATCTTCTTGGACACAACTGTTATATCAAGCCGTGAAGTGAGTAAGAAAAGTGCAATTGAAGTGGAATAATGGTTTGTGAAACTTGCCATTGACGGTGGTGAGTATATTGCTGCCTAGGAATAGTAACTGAAAACGTTTTTTGAGTAGTGGTGCGATATTTAGGTATTGGTTGGGTGAAATGAATAACTGTGAAGTTAGGCTGAAATTAACTTATATGTGGATCCATAAAATGTTCGTTAGAATTGCTTTTTTGTTATTCTGATCAATAATGCGCAGGTCACCAGTTCTGGTACATATCACGTATATTATTTCAGTTTTATTAGATAAGCTTAGCAAGTACTGAAGAGGATATAGCTTGGCTTGAATTAACTATCATGTACACCGAGAGGGCAACATTATTGTTGTATATAGATAGCCTCTCTCCTCTCTCTCTCTCTCTCTCTCTCTCTCTCTCTCTCTCTCTCTCTCTCTCTCTCTCTCTCTCTCTCTCTCTCTCTCTCTCTCAATTATTGTAAATTGGATTATGCATTTTTACTCTTTCCTTTCCTTCACCTTATATCACTAGGCAGTGGTTATTTAACCAAGATATGTTATTAGGTAAAAGTGCAGAATAAGGCCTTCTGCCGTTTCTTTTTTCTCTCTTTCCCTACATACTATACATAGTGCACTCAACACATTTGTGAAGGTTTCAGGCGGGAAAAAACCATTATTTACTTCGCAAAACGTTTTTGAAGTTATGTTAGGTTGGTTAGATTATGTTAAGTTAAGGTTGTTAGGTTACGGTTATGTTATGGTTAGGTTAAGTTAGGTTAGGTTCAGTTAGGTTAGGTTCAGTTCAGTTACGTTCTGTTATATAAAACTTAAATTTTATTATCCAAAAGTTAGGGTTCTCAACCTTATATTTATATGTGGATTTAGGTAATAAAATGTAAAATTTTTATATAATCGAACCTAGCTGATCCGAATCTAACCTAACTTAACCTAACCATAATATAACCGTAACCTAACCTAACAACCTTAACTTAACCATAACTTAACCTAACCTAACCAGTCTAACATAACATAACCTAACATAACTTTAAAGACGTTTTGCGAGGTAAATAATGGTGCCCCTCAACTGAAACCTTCACAGATGTGTTGAGTACACTATGTATAGTATGTAGGGAAGGAGAAAAAAAGAAAGAGCAGAAGACCTTATTCTGCAATGCCACATGCTCCTCTCATATAACCCGTCCATTTCCAAGCCCATTGCCGTTGTGAAGGGACTTTGGGACCAAAGATATAATATATATAT